GGCCACCCGCGCCCGGCCACCCGGGCAACGCGTCCCGCAGGGCCAGCAGCGTGGGGTGGGCTGCATCCACCAAGCAGCCCGTCCACACGAGGGAAGGGTATTTTGCTCTTCAGTATTTTCCAATTTTTTTTTTCTTCATTAACCACCCCACCCTCCCTTTTCTGTAGGAAACATTCAGGCAGGAAGAGCAGCCGGTGGCTTTCTTGTATACAAAGCAGAAGGAGCTGCTACAGCTTCAGCCCCAAAACCACTTCGCGTTTTTCAGGTGTTTTATTTAACCCATCACTGGCTGCAGAGCTGTTCCAGCAGCAGCCTGGGATGGCACATGAAGACAAACGACTGGCTCACAGTCACTCCTCTATGGATTCAGAGCCTACAAAACTAAAAGCAAACCCAACAGGGAAACCTAAGCCACACACACACACACGGAAAAAATTAACTCATTGCTCACAGCTGTAGTTTTCCACCAGACTAAAGGCAACTCGAATTACTCTGACTCCAGCAACTCGTGTTACACAACAAGTAACTTCCAATGCATTCCTAAGTCAAGGCTTCCTTGGCATCCACTAAAATGTTAAGCTGTCCCTAGAGTTTCCCATTCTAATATTAGCTGTACCAACGCTGCCTGATAGGATTGTGCTGTTTCCAAGTTCCCAAAATCCAGCCCTTTATCTTCCTAAAGTACTGCCGCCCAATTTTGCAAACATTTGACAGGCATAGGATGTTGCTTGTGTGACTGCTATTAACACTTCAAGCTTTCGCAGGAGAAGAGCCTTCAACTACAAGAAAAGGAAGCTTAAATTCCTCTTTTATTATTGGTGTGTTATTGCAATTACACTGATCAGTAACTGAAACCTACTGGAGCTGGAACAGTCACACAATGCTACCGAGGAAGAAGTGTGGGAAGAGGTTGTCATCAGCAGCAGGGGGTGGGGCACAGAGGCTGTTTGATTCACAGATCGAATTATTTCACATTAAAAAACCCAACATTTGTTAAATCTACATTGCAAGTATTTTATAGGCTAATTAAAGTCAAGTTCATAACAAAATCTGCCCAGATCCTCGCAATCCAGCTTGAAGCATCAGCACAAACATTAGTCTGACCCATGCTTCTGGAAGGACCTTTGCATTTTTGCACATCAGGTGGGGAACAGAGACTGCAAATATCAGATTTGCAAGGCATGTTTTAAACTTCAAAGGGAAGGAAAAAAAAGCACATCTAGCCACACTCATGTCTTCTGGGTTTTGTAAGGAACAGAGATGCTCTAAATCAATTCAGATTTTGCAAATGGGGCAAATTTATACAGGAATCCCATTCACTGATGTGTGGGCTCCCAGTCCAAATGAGCTCAGCAAGCAGGAAAAGATGTGCGGAAACCTTTCTGCGGGGCACTAGGGACTGGCTGGGCGCAGCTCTTGAAAACGAGCTAGAACAGGTCAGATATGGGTGGGGATTAGAAAGAATGCTCTCTCAGAAGTTGCTCTGAGCAGACTGAAATACAACCATCTTGTGGATTGCCTATTCCACAGCTGGGGAAGTGAGGGTCTGTTAACACTGGGGCCTGATTACAGTGGGTCTGAATTTAACACAGTTACAGCAACATGCACAGTTTAGTAACATCTGCCACTTCCCAGCCCCTCCACCTTGAGAGACCCCATAGAATAAACCAAACATCCACCCTCTCACCTGTGTAGCTCAGAAGCACACACATACACACACACAGAGGTACACGGCTGCACTAAGCTGCTCAGAGTCCTCAAGATGAAGGGAATCATGTTAATGGAAAATAAGTCATATGAATCCTGCAAAACATTAAACTACAAATAGTAAGACGTTCAGATGTATGTAACATGGTTAATATGCTTCTTTTACAACTCTTCCAGGAAAAGAAAAAACCCCACAACTCTGAAACAATACTTGCTGATGGCCTGCTGATGGAAACTGAGAAGAGACCCCCCGGCCCCACACCCTGCAGAAGGGCACACTCATCTGTTCAACACGCAGAGTGGGACACAAGGAATATTCTGTGCTACAGAAACAATTCACCTTCCTGCAGAAGGACAGACTATCATCTGGATCCTGGGACTAGGGCTCCTGTACTGAGGGGGAGCCAAATAAATAAATAAAATGTTAATACCAGAGACCTCGATTCTGCAGCCTGTGCACCAACCAGCAGAGCACAGCAGCAGCACACCCTGCCCCCATCACTTGTTTGCTGTTGTGGTGGTTTGACCCTGGCTGGACACCAGAGGCCCACCAAAGCTGCTCTATCACTCCCCTCTAACTGGACAGAGGAGAGAAAAGTAAATCAAAAGGCTCGCGGGTCAAGATAAGGACAAGGAGAGACCATTTTATCAATTACCATCTGGGCAAAACAGACTCAACTTGAAAATAATTAATTTATTATCAATCAAAATCAGAGAAGGAGAGGAGAAAAACTGCTAGATCTTAAAAACCTTCCCGCTACCCCTCCCTTCTTTCTGGGCTCAACTTCACTCCCAGTTTCTCTATCTATGCCCCCCAGCAGCACAGGGGGATGGGAATGGGGGTTGAGGTCAGTTCATCACACATGTTCTCTGCGGCTTCTTCTTCCTAGGGAGAGGACTCTTCCCCTGCTCACACATGGGGTCCCTCTCACGGGAGACAGTCCTTCATGAACTTCTCCAACGTGAGTCCTTCCCACGGGCTACAGTTCTTCACGAACTGCTCCAGCATGGGTTCATAATTTCTACGGGGTGCAGTCCCTCAGGAGCAGATGGCTCCAGTGTTGGGTCCCCTGCGGGGTCACAAGTTCTGCTGGCAAACCTGCTTCGGCATGGGCTCCTCCTCCCACGGGTCTGCAAAGTATTGCCAGGAACCTGATCTGGCGCAGGCTTCCCATGGGGTCACAGCCTCCTTTGGGCATCCACCCGCTCCGGCGTGGGGTCCTCCACAGGCTACTGATGGATATCTGCTCCACCGTGGACCTCCACGGGCTGCAGGGGGACAGCCTGCCTCACCATGGTCTTCACCACGGGCTGCAGGGGAATCTCTGTTCCGGTTCCTGGAGCACCTCCTCCCCCTCCTTCTTCACTGACCTTGGTGTCTGCAGGGCTGTTTTCTCTTGCATCCTCTCACTTCTCTTCTCTCTCCGGCTACTGAGATGCAGCCGTTTTTTTTTCCTCCTTAAACATGTTATCCCAGAGGCACTTCCACTTTCGCTGATTGGCTTGGCCTTGGCCAGCGGCAGACACAGGGAAAACTTCTAGCAGCTTCTCACAGAAGCCACCCCTATAGCCCCCCCACTACCAAGACCTTGCCACAGAAACCCAATACAGCTGTGCACTCAGGAGAGCACTTACACACATGCTTAACTTTGAGCATGCCGACAATCTTACTGGAAAGAAGAAAGCCTGAAGCATGTACTTCAGTGCTTTCCTGAATCAGGGCCTAAATAAATCAAGCTGGTTCGCACATCTATTGAGGCAGGGAGGGCAGCAAGCATGGGCAGCAGTCATCGCATTTCAGCTTACGTGATTGCAGCCCACAGGAGCACAAGCTAGGCTTTTCTGCAAGTCAACAAACACAGTTCTGTCAGTGTTTGGACTGCTGCAAATTCCCTCTCCATGTGGCCACAGGGAAAGCCGAAAACGCGTGCGTGCAGGGCTGACATCACGCCCAGCGCTGTACGCTGCTGCAGCGAGGCTCCTGTGCAGGCTGCCGAAGGATAACACACATCAGACAGGAACCCGGCACTTGACGCTAAAAAGCTTCAGTTCTCCATGTTTCAACTCCTGGCAGCAAACAATTGCAACTGTTCTCACCATGATGCATCCTTACAATTCCCTTGTATTACCCTTTTTTTTTTTTTAAGGAGGGGAACTGGCATTTTACTCACTTTGTTCTCCCACTTATTTCAAATTGGAGGAATAAAAGCATCCATGCCAAAACCAACATACAAGGATAAAGAGTAGCTCCAGAAAACACAGGCTTCGTTAGCGTGCAGGAAATACAACAAAGGGTAGGTGCTGCCTTTTGAACCCTTCCCGGCGCTGCAAGCCAGATCCGTCTGGCAGAGCTCATCTCCTCCACCACCAGATGGGCCAATCTCGTTTCAACAGCAGCAGCATCAAAGCTGGAGAAAGCAGCAGAGCAGAGAGAAAAGCCTGCGGCCTTTATCCCTGTAAGGAAACTATAATATCCCTAAAGCCCCTGCTCCAGGGCCACTTGCTGGGCCAGGCTCTAATTGCCTGAGATGCAGGAGGACGGGGCTTGCTCCAGATGTCAGACCCAGCCTTGCAGCTACTGAAGTGAAGGGGAACAAGGGCAGCCTGAGGAGCGAAGGTCACGCCGGGGCTCGCCTCTGGCGGGACCGAGATGTCCTCGCTGCTTGAGGTAACGTGAGGATGAGCGTATTCACTTGACGCTTGAATTCCTCCTGCTTTCCACGAAACCGATCCCCTTCCACTGACACCCCCCATGGATGTCAACTTGTGAGGACGCTTCCTGACAGCCGAGTTCAGAGATGGTAATTTATGTGACAGGGTAGATTCAAGCAGCTCCCAAGTGTAAACGATGCTATTTAAAAGAGACCTTTTTTTTTGGAGAAGAAAAAAAAAAAAAAAAGACTCAGTAGCATTGGCAAGGTGGGTTCCTTATTTATTGTTCCTCAAGGATTTCCGGGTCACGACAGCCCAGATGAGAAGCAAAAGTGCTGTTGCCCTAACTGACAGTCCTGGTGAGCAAGAAGG